CCCCAAAACCCCAAAACCCCAAAACCCCAAAACCCCAAAACCCCAAAACCCCTTTCATTGAAGATAATATTGACATTAGGGCATAATTAAAGATGCTGCTAAATAAATTTGAAACAAAGAGCAAAAGAGTGAAGGGCTTGTGCTTCCATCCGACTAAGCCATGGATCTTGGTGTCTCTCCATAACGGGATTATTCAGTTATTTGATTACAGAGTTGGAGTACTGGTAGACAAGTTCTCAGACCATGAAGGTAAGGGCTTCAGGGTTAGAAATATCTTGCATTTAAATATCTAATCTTTCCTACTAGGTCCTGTCCGGAGTGTTGATTTCCACCGCACTCAACCCTTATTCACAAGTGGAGGGGATGATCAAAAAGTGAGAGTATGGGATTACAAGAAGAAAAAATGCCTCTTCAGCCTCACTGGACATATTGATTATGTAAGAATGGTTCAGTTCCATCATGAATTACCATGGATTTGTTCTAACTCAGATGACCAAACTATCAGGATCTGGAACTGGCAGAACAGAAGCGTGATAGCGATCTTGACTGGCCACACTCACTATGTTATGAGTGCCAGGTTTCATCCAGAAGACAACCTAATCCTCTCTGCATCATTGGATAACAAAATTTTTGTATGGGATTATTCTGAATTGAAAGAGAAACATCAAAAATATGCTGGAGACTCAAAGAAAAAGTTAGAAATGTACACAGGGGTTGAGGTTGAAGTCAAAAATATATGAGAAGGGCATGAGAAAGGAGTCAATTTTGCATGTTTCCATCCTACCAGGAGCCTTATAGCCTCCGGAGCTGATGACAAGCTCATTAAATTGTGGAGGGTGAGTGGATCAAGGGCTTGGGAGATGGATACTCTCAGAGGTCATCAAAACAATGTTTCATGTGTTGCATTTCACCCAAAATTAGACATACTCATCTCTAACTCTGAGGATAGGACCATGAAAGTCTGGGATTTAAACAGGAGATCATGTATTTATACTTTGAAAAAGGACACAGACAGATTTTGGGTAATCGCAATGCATCCAAATTCAAACTATTTCGCATGTGGATATGATAAAGGAATGACAATCTTCAAACTTGAAAAGGAAAGATTTGATTACCAAAGAGTAGGGAACCAACTGTTCTATGTTAAGAACAAGGTATTAATGTTGGAAGATCTCACCAATATGGATAGCCTTCCACAAGCTAATCTCGAAGTTGAGGGAAAGCAAGTGCTCAATAATCAACCATTTACTCTCAATTACAATCATTTTGACAACTCAAATCACGATGTTTTGCTCAATTACATAGGAGATCAAGAAATGTCAATTCTCGTAATAATGAATAAAAATCTTGATAAAGCATCAAATGCAGTTCAAAGGAAAATAGAATCCTCTAAAGGGGCTGTTTTCGTGGCCAAAGAGAAAATCTGCGTTCTCAGCAAGACCAAGAACCTTTATATCTATCTTTTCGACGGAAGGAATAAGAAAATTGATTGGACTACAAAACACACGCCTCAGAAGATATTCCAGGCTACGATTGGAAAAGTACTCCTCAAATCGAATAATGATGTGCTAATGTTCGATATTGCTGCCAGGAAAGTAGTTTCTGAAATCAAATTCACTAATCTTAAAAGAGTATATTGGTCTCCCAAGATGAACTATGTAGCTTTGTTTTCTAAGAATCAAATTTTGATATGCACTAAGAACCTCAAACCCTTATGTAAGGTAAAAGATGCCACTAAGGTCAAGTCAGGATGCTTTGATAACGAAAATGGGTTCATCTATACAACCTATTCACACATAAAATATCTAGTAATAACTGACAAGCTATCTGAAGGTAGTACGAACACGAATAATAGTGGTATTTTCAAAGCAACTCAGAACCCGATCTACCTCGCAGGGTACATAAACGGGAACATCTTTTACATCGACAGAGAAGGAAAGGTCTGTCGAGAAGCAGTCAACACCACAGAGTATGAGCTCAAGATTGCTCTCAACAAGAAAAGAATTAATGAGGTCATCAAAATTCTCAAAAGAGGTCAGCTTAGCGGTAATGCCATCATCCAATATTTGAAAGAAGAGAATTGTGCTGATATAGCACTTCTGTTTGAAAAGGATCCAAGGACCAGATTCTCCCTTGCACTTTCTAGTGGGAATATCCAGGAAGCATACAAGAATGCAACTGAGATTAAGGAGAAAGATATATATTTGAAACTTGGTGAGCAATCAATGCTTCAAGGATATCAAAATGTTGCTGAGAAGTCATACCAATCTATAAAAGCATTTAACAAGCTGTCCTTCTTTTATGCGACCCAAGGTTGCACTTCTAAGCTCAAGAAGATGCAAGTGATAGCTATGGATATGAACAACAAGAATGATATTTTTGAGAATTCAATCCTATTAGGAAATATCAGGAACAGAGTAAAACTTTTGATGCAATCAAACCAGATTGCTCTTGCTTATGCTTCTGCCAAAGCTCATAATCTGACAGACCTGATCCCTCTCATAGAGGATGAAATTCAAAACAGAGGTATTGAGCTTACAGAAAACTACACTGAACAACTAGCCGAACGGAGTCAGAAGGCAAAGACTTTGCTACCGTGTAGGCCTATTTTTATTGAGAATGAAGGGTTCTCTACTACAAACTGGCCACACACAATGATGCTTCAGAGCCATGTCCAAGACAAGATGAATGAAGGCGATGAGAATGGTGACTTACATGATGCCTCTGCAACTGGAGAAGATAATAGCCAGGGCATATCCGACCTATTAGACGATTTCAAGGATGATGCGAAAGAAGAGTTAGGAAACGGAGATGCAATGAATAGAGATGATATGGACCAACTAGCAGGCGATCTTGAAGGGGAAGGAAATTGGCCAGATGCAGACCTTGATATTGACGATGATATTCTGGGTGATATTGAAGGGGACAATATTGAAGGAGACCCTGAATTGGCTGATTTGGATAAGGAAGTCAATGAGAAAGAGGAAGATGAAGTATTTGTTCCTCCAACTAGGTCTAATGATCCTTTGCTACAAATGGTATCAAATTCTATGATCCCAGCTCATCATGTTGCTATTGGAAATTTTAAGGAGGCTCTATCTCTTCTTAAGAAACAAATTGGACTTATAAATCCAAAACCGCTAAGGAGCATCTTTGCTTTTATTCATACAAATTCTAAAATTTGCTTACCGAGCATGCCTAAATTTCCATCAATTGATTCATTCCTTAGAACAGCTGATGGATGTAGCCCAGTTGGTATAATTAACCTCGAATTCTTGAAGAATATATACAAGGAAGGGTTTGCTGAGACTACGAAAGGCAACTTCAAAGATGCCCTTCTCGCATTCCAAAAATGCATTCAATATGCCGTCCTCTCAGTTGCCTCAACCTCAGAAGAAGAGAGAGAAATAAAGAAGCTCATCAGCAGTTGAATAGAGTACATCCTTGCTATGAAAATTGAGCTCAAGAGAAGGGATAAAAACCTGACTACTACTGAAGCCCAGAACTTAGAGCTTGCATGATTCATGAGTGTCTGCAAGATGCATCCGTCACACAAATTCTTGGCTCTTAAAAATGCCATGAATTTGTGTTACAAAGGGCAGAACTTCATCACGGCTGCACATCTAGCTAGAAGCATCTTGGACCTTGAGCCTACAGGAGTAAGTCATCAAAATAATGAATAGGTATTCTCAAACAAGCCTGAGCTAATCACTCAATATAAGAAATATTATGCTGCATTCCAGAAGAAGGGTACTAATAAAACCAAACTCAGCTTCAATGTAGAGGAGTTCAGTCAAATTGAAGAAGCTAACGGTAGGTATTCAGGTCGTCCTCGGTTCTAATCTTCTAATATAGGCTTCATTTGCTGTGGTTCCCTCGCTCCATTCCCTGAAACACTTCTGGTACGCAATTTTCTGACAAAAATAGGGCAACCGTAGCTTCAAAGGATCCTGTAAATGACCATTCTCAGGCGCAATCTATAGCCAAGACTATCAAGGCAAGATATGTACTATCAGCAACCTTACAGAGATTGGTGCAGAAGCTCTGGGACTAAATATTTTGAACCTGAGAGAAGAATAGAAGTTATTATAATTCCAAATTCAATTCGGAAATTTTACTAAGGGGTTTTGGGGTTTTGGGGTTTTGGGGTTTTGGGG